TTGCAGAATTCTATGCATTCAACGATTTGATGGTTGGAGGTAGTGTGTTCAAGCACAAGGATATTCACAGTGCGACATGGATTTCACCAGACACCAGATTTCACACACTACACTGGAAATCAGATCGACTTCATCTCAATGGGAAGAAAGTGGAGATGCACTCAGCCTACTTGACACAAGGTCAGATCAAGAAAAGGAGCAGATGTAGGTTCAGACCACTTACTGTCTAGTGCAAGGAACCTACCTTCAAAATCAAGTTGAGAGCCTTCAGCCCAAGGAAGTTGATGAAAGACCAGTGTTCAAGTACAACACTCGGAAACTGAAGCATGAAACTACAAAGGGAATCCTCACGTCAGCCATGAAGACAAAATAGGAGATATCGAGCAACATCCTTGAAGAAATCTGTGTGGAAGAACACTGGAAATCTTTGAAAGAGATGTGGAAAGAAATCTGCACAACCGAATTAGGAAGGAAGGAAGAAGAAAGAAGATGAGGAATGGATCTCGACGGACACATGGAAGCTGAGAGAGCAGGGAGAGGAGGATGGTGAAGCAGAAGATGAACCAGTGTAACGATGCACAACGACATGAGGATCTGAGTACAATGTATAAAACACTGGACAATGAAGTGAAGAAGAGTGCACGGAAAGACAGAAGATACTTCGACGACACACTGGCAAGTGAAGCAGAACAGGCTGCTGGCTGGTAGGAGAGACAGAGACCTGACAACATTGTATCAAATAACCAGGTTATTATCTGGTAGGGAAGAGATTAACACAGATGAAAACAATAAAAGATGATGAAGGAAATCTAATTGGCAAGGAAGAGAAACAGAGCAAACAATGGACTGACCACTTCGAAAAGCTCAGGAATCGACCACCACCACCACCACCACCCGCACTTCGTCCAGAAAGACCACCTGCAGTCCAGTCACAGAACTACAAAAGAACACAAATCCTCCAACAGAAGTCGAAGTCCTGAGCGCCATACAGCTACTGAAATGCGGGAAAGCAGCAGGACAAGATGGAATGCAGCCAGAAGCACTGAGAGCAGACGCAGAGACAACAGTGGACATGATCACACCACATCACTATTGCACAAGGTCTGGAAGGAGGGAAGGTACCTGAAGGTTGGTAGGAAGAAGGGCGACCTCAGTGTTTGCAAGAACTGGTGAGGAATCACGCTCCTCTCTACCCCAAGCAAAATATTATGCTGCATCATCTTGGAGAGACTAAAGGATGCACTGGATTCAAAACTACGACCGAACAGGCTGGCTCCCTTCAGGAAGTACAAATCATGTGCCGACCAAATTGCAACGCCACACTACGCATCATCATAGAACAGAGTATAGAATGGCAGTCAACTCAATTCTCATTCTCAACTTCATCGACTTTGAGAAGGCCTTCGACAGCGTCGACCGAGAAGTAATTTGGAAACTGCTTCAATACTACGCAATACCGCAAACCTTTACCTTTATCAACCTGATTCAACAACTATATGAAGACGCCACATGCCAGCCAAGTAATTCACAATGGGGAGCTCAGTGATGCCTTTTAAGTGAAGTGAAGACAGGAGTGAAACAGTGCTGTCTACTACCACCTATGATATTCCTGATTGTGGTCGACTGGATCATGCAGCAAACAGTGAGGAGCGAGGAGAGGGGGATACGCTAGCTGGACTGCGGAAAAGAACCTAGAAGATTTGGATTTCGTCGACGACTTGTGTCTGATGTCGCACAAACTGGAAGATCTACAGGCGAAAACCAACAAGTTGACAGAAGAGGCAGAGCAGGGCAGTGAAGATGGGACTTCCTTCAGGTGGATGTAGAGAAGACAGAGGTGATGAAGATACCCAACCAACAAACAACACCAACAACAACAACAGAAAGCTCCAATCACCATCAACGGGAGAAACTTAAAGAAATTAGCCTCCTCCACCTATCTAGGCAACACTGTTTCAACTACAGGTGGCGGTACAGACGAGGATATCAAAGTCAGAATCGGAGAAGCAAGACAGGCATTCAATAACCTGAAACCAGTGTGGAGGTCTTCTGCACTGCACTCAGCATAAAGCGTGAACAACATCCGGATTTTCAACACCAACGTGAAGTCAGTGCTTCTGTATGGTTCAGAGACTTGGCGCGTTACGAAAGGGATTTCCAACACACTACAGACATTCATCAACAACTGCCTATGCTGGCTCGTTTCTGAAGATCAGATGGATTGCCAGAATAATAAGAATAAGCAACAAGGAACTCTGGCTGGCTGGCTGGCTGGTAACGAACCAACCAGGAACCTATCGCTGAACAAATATGCAGAAGGAAGTGTAGATGGATTGGTCATACACTGAGGAGGTTGACTGGGGTCATCATGCAACAGGTCAAGCTGTCGAGTGGAATGCAGATGGGAAGTGACGAGTTGGTTGTCCGAGGGTGACATGGAGGAGATCATGTGAGGAGGAAATGAGAGGTTGTGGGCTGTTTTGGAAGCAGGTTGAAAGGATTTCAGAGAACAGAGCTCATTGGAGACGTGCTACTGAAGCCCTATTTTCCTTTATGAACCCAAGGTACAAATAATAGTAATAATAGTAGTAGTTATAATAATAATATATAAGTAGTGGAATGCCCTCGGGTCTTTAGCCTAAAGATTATCAATGATGCATGTGCATCTCCTTACAGAACGAAACAGCTTTCCAGTGAACTCAGGTTTCAGTGGTTCTTCAAACTATATCAGTCCACGGTGGGATTTAGCCTGAAATCAAACATTTCCTTGAAAAGCAACCATTGAAATAGCAACACACTTGAAAACTGGACAGTATGGTTGTCGTGAGGAAGCATTAAAGGGTTTTGAAGCAGCCCTGTGAGATATGACAGCAGGAATGATTAAATGAAACAACAGTTGTAGAATATACTTCATGTCAAATTACGGAGCACAACAAAATGACAACAAGTATATGAGACTAATAGGTTAGAAAGGTGAAACTTGAGTCCAACTCAGAGAACTTCTATTACAAAAATCAAAGTGGAGCGGGTTATATATCTCTTATATTGTTACTAAAACAAACAGCGACTGGCAGTTCAAGATCAGCTGTTGCTTTCTACCGAATGAAATTGTCAGTTTCTAACCTATAAACAGCGGGGATTTCTGTGAAGCAGAGTCAAGTCGAATTACAGCTTCTATTGATCATTTTGAAAGCATTTTCAAGTTTCACATCATGCTGTGTATCCAGTAAGTGGTGCACTATTAAACTTGACACAATTTATTACTTTCAGACTCAGACCTTTTGAAATGCATTTAGCGCTGTTTGTGGAGGCTTGTTTTCCTGTCTACTCATGTAAATTGGTAGATGCGATTAAAGATGAAATCTTAGGTGTATTTGTCCACCTGGTTTGCATAACTCAACAGCATGTTTTATAAATAGGTTCTATTTTCACCTCTGAAAATGTTCACCTTTTAGATCCTGACCGATTTTTGAATATCAGCCGGTTATCAACAAATTTATTCCCAGATCTGTTCTCTTCACCACTCGGATGGAGATCACCATCGTACTTTTTTATAAATCTCAGCGGGTAGTTTTTTTGAGGAGATTTCTTTATAGTTTCACACATTTCTTCTAGTTTATTTGTAGTATCCAATTTTATGGATCTGTGATACAGTGGTCTCATTAAATCTGTTTATAGCTTATGATACAAAACTGCCAAGTCCAAGTTTCTGACAGTTTCCATCATTCGGGTTGTGTGATAAAATTCAAGAAGTGGAATACACCTCAGTGCTCTTGTCCCACTATAAGTTCAATGTCCTATTGAGGTGTGATAATTGCATTTTATGGACTATCCGCATGATTTATATAGTTATGTACTATAAATGTTTCGCCACCAATCCTTCAGTCGATCCCTGATATTGTCATGTGTGAGCACTGCTGAGGGAGTTCCATACTACGACGAAACAGTTATTTAATGCTTTCAGACTTTCATTGGTTCTCCAACTTATCTCAGGCCGTTAATAGTATTGACTTGAAATCTTTAAGATGTCATGTATATCATGTGTCATCGTTACCTGCTGGTGTCAGATTTGTCATTTCCAGACTATAAGCAAACATGTCGCTGAAAACTTGACCGAATGGAACCCTCATTATTACACTATTTGACCAACAATATAATATACGAGTAAACTGGAACTAAACATTTGTAGTGAACAGTCTCGCTAACTAACTGTTTCGGCTCAATTTTAGGCATAAAAAAGCGATCTGAATGTCGGTTTATAACATCAGTAGTTTTTTTCCTAGGGATTTTCAGATTAGCCGATTTGCCAGTAAGCTGTGCAAGATCGACAAGCCCTTATTATCACTCAGATTTATACAATCTGTTTGTACGAATAATATCGACATTCAGACAGCACATCGATCTGAGGAAGCCTCTAAGAACAGTTTCGTGTCATCCGAAAAGTTGCTAGAAATAAAGCAGTGCAGATACGAAGATGATTTATTAAAGCTCATAATTTCCTCTTACACTCACTTCTTCCCCCTAAGGATGCAGCGTAGGGTCCTAAGACGTTTCATAGTTGATATTTTATGGCGAAGTCATACAGCGAAGGTCTGGGAATGCATTCAATAAAATCAAGAGGAGTAACTTTTAGTTTTGAGTGTGCTGATGCTTCATGCCACAGCTTAAGACAGTTTTCATTGTACCAAAGGAGCAGACATAGACGATAATGTAACCTGGCAACCACTAATGGCGGCACACATTCCCACGTTGTAGAAAAAAGTAAGTCGACATTCCATATGATGCTCTCAGGCAGTTGACTGATTTCAGAGGAAATCTATCCTTGAGTTTTCCAATTTCCCTCCAAATTATTCAAACCAATGAGTAAATCACAGAGGCATGTGATCAAGGTGGACTAATGAATTCAGACCTGAGAAACATAAGAATAGAACTGAATAGATGTTAGGCCAGGGTAACTTTGTAGTAAAGTTTCATTAACAGTTAACTAACCTTTGTTTGATCTAGTTCCGTTTTATGTGTTCACTTGGTAAGCATTCAATAGGAATCCATTTCAGCGTTACAGACTCAGCACTTTTCACTTGAACAACAGCATCGTTTAACAGTGAATCGAAGTTGGACAAACGCTATTTTTTATTCAGAGGGAAAAAAACATCGAAAAAATGAGCCACAGAAGAAAACAAGCAAACAAATAACAAAACTAAATGGTTAGATAAAAATACATACTTTATACGGTAAATAGCTCCATTGTATGTTATATTTGTCGACAGAGCGTAACATCCTTAGGATGTGATGATAGCTCAAGAACCATATCATTTTCCATGATAGTAACCACTTTGAATTCGACCAATCAATGCATAATGATTGCGCCTTATCACGAGTGGACAGAAGAGAAAAAATGTAATCCATTTGATTCCAACCTAGAGGCTAAATGGTCACAGATTTGACATGGGACCTGAGAGTACCGAGCGCAAATGACTACAGCATCATGGGTTTGTACTGTTGACGAGTCCTAAAGATTGTTGAAACAAGTGTCCAGTGCATCTAGGTTTTTAGTCCCTGACGAATAGCACTTTGACACTCCATTCTTAATATGCAGCTCCTGTCGTAATGCCTCTTTTTCCACTCACTGGGGGTGCTTAATAGAGTAAAGTTTGCGAACCTAACTCCTTAGAAACTTAGAGCTTATCCATCATGGTAGTGAGATGGCGATGGAACCCAGGACACGTGTTTCGTTCCATTTAGGGTTCGTCAGCCGGATTTTCCTGCCCCTCAGTAAGTGATGTTGTTCCCAGTGCCGATCGCTCCAAACACCAGAATGTTATCCGCTAGGCCACCGAGTAACTATAGCCACCTCCATCATAAGCAAATCAGTCTAGCCGTTCACGTACAGGAATTTGAAAATCCATCGACAACTGTATCTAATTCTAGAGCTGAGGGTACAGCATGACCTATCGAAAATCTCCAAGGCTAAGAAGGACGGAGTATTTTTTTCTTAAGAGTCTAGAACGATGACAAAATTGTGTAGTGACAGAAAAGAGTGACTTCGTTACATAAAAGATTAACCACCATGAAGCCATAGTTAGTAGTTGTTTTGCATTCACCTATCGACATTTTTCTATCGGCATTCGGAGTCAGAGTACCGTCTACTGAATAATTTGCACCTTACATTGCACTCTATCATGTGGTTAAATTCGGAATAAACAACCTTTATGTCAGACTTAAAATTTCACTGTTGAGTGAAGTTGGTTGATATTTCAAAGGCTACATCGATTCCCTAAATGACACAGAAGTCGACGTCCTCAATCACTTGTCAAATGACTGCTGCGAGGCTACTTCTAACATTACGACATATATACTGGTTTTATAATGATGAAACTTACCTCCCAAATAGCATCAAGTTGACATTTAAAATCTAGCATGCTGTTATTCAAATTCAGCCACTTTTTCTTAAGATGATACAGGTGACGCCTTATCCGACGATTCGTACGCACAGTGCGATCTTCTACTGTGCCTTGGTCATTGCCACTGATTACTTTATTTTGGACACCTGAATCAGATGCCTCTGACTCTCCTTCAGATTCGCGTTCAGTTGACGACAGATTCATCAGTTCACCTCGGTCTGTGCCACTACCATCACTGTACTGTGCATTTCCGTGACAAAGAACTTCTTCAACCTGTAGACGATTAACATTTAATTCTTGAAACAATCCCTTTGAGGCGGGAAAGAAAAAGAGAAAAAGAAAAGAGACACAAATGACACAACGCGAACTCTCAATTAGAATCTGTTACATTTCATCGAAACTGACAGCATAAAAAATTGAAACATGAGTAGAGTAATAATAAATTCATTCGTTGATAAACTTATCAACACACTGATACTTGATCATATAGTATGTAGAGAACTTATTTCAGAAAATCAAGATATAAGCATCACCAAATGAGTCTTATCCATTACGAGATATCGTTTATATCAAAACCGTACCTCCTAGACTTTACTGTTGGGTGTGAAGCAAAGATACGGAACTTTTCTAAAAAAACAACTTGACTTCAAACATCTCATCAACAATACAACTGCTATCCATTCTGATTATCGGTTTCAATTTCTTGGGGACTGGACAGTTTCTATGTCCATGTTCTCATTCACATTTCCATCGTGCACTTACCCTTCAAACTGTCACAGTTTTACTTACTTTGTATCAATTCATATAATCAAACTGATATAAAGATTGTTCTTCCGTATTTCCAGTTCTTAAAAGGTATTCAGTTTTGTATAGTTAACATGAAACATGTCTAAGTATGGTGATCGTTGAGCAAATGGCACTTAATTTAGTTGCTTCTCGACATCAGAAACACCGTTTTCGATGATTTGAAATCTAATTGAATTCGATGTATTTTTGATCAAAATACTAATAAGATTTTTAGTTTCAGACACTATAGAAAGGTTTAGAGACGATTTGAAAGACGATAATGTCAGTAGAGAACAACAGCTGAACATGTTCATTTCAAAAATAGATAAGCTATTTTTATTTCAACAGGATTTCATTCATTTTATAGTTTCATTCCATTTCAGTTAACTAATTAAATGCAAAGACAATATATTGACCCAAGAGTAATCCAGCATAAATAATACTGTTTCACTGTATGGTGCATCTAATGAACTACCTAAAAGAGAATTACATTCTGCCATAGTGCCAAAGTTTTACTCTTACGCCGTTAGTTTAATCTTTTACGCTTGAAAAAAAAATTGTTCCCTGCACATAGTTTTTCTACGTTACAAATTTCCGATTCTTACCCCACCCTGCCTTAATAATTGACTGATCCAGATAACGTTTGGTTTGCTTCTTTATTTTGCGTTTTAATTATTGACAATTTTAAGAGATAGTCTTTCCAAAGGATATGTAGCTAAAGAATCAATGATAACAGCATACTTACTGCTCCTATTTGAAGGGTAACCAGTTTCAAAACACAGAATAAAATTAAATAAAAAATAATTATTGTAAACATCTTCCCTATACCATTCTCCTTTTGAATGGTTCTGAAACAGACAGGTAGACGAAATCCACTCTGAACCTTGCACAAGAGTGCATCGGTTCTAGTTAACAAGTTTTAAAGCTGTAGGCCAAGAACACATGGATAGAAAAGGAGTGATATTAAAGTAGATAAAGATGTATAGGAGGAAAAAAAACTGAGAAATGAAGTTTGATGAAAATTTTGAAGCTTTTGAAGATGTCAAGATTAAATATATGCTCGCTATTGTGACCAGTTTCAACTATGTCATCGTGAATTATCAACCGCTGATTCTTATTTTCTCGAAGACCGAAGCTAGTAAGTTTACTTCTCTCTTAAACGCTGAGCTGAGAGATACACTGGCTGATAAATCAAAGTAGAACCTCTCATGGGAGTGCAACGGCTCATGTTCACAGCCTTATTGACTGGTCTGCCTTGTTTATCCCCATTATATAATGACCTACGCATTACCTCAATATTACTTGCAAGGTAATCCCACCATACGTCAGCAACATAAGCAACTGTGTCCAGTAACTTGTAATCTCTTTACATCTACTGTGTACCTGTCTTTTAATAGACAGCCGAATGTTTTGCCGGCACCAGAGATGACTTAAGTTGGCGAATGCCGAACGGGCCATTTTTTATTTCAGCTGACATTTAATCAGCACCCAACCTCATTCGGGATGATGCGATTCTCCAAATAGGTGAAGTAGTAAACTCGGTCTACCACTTTGTTCTCTACACTTAATATGAGATTAGATAAAAGCCAATCCTGAAATATCATCATACGTTGGAAAGTGACAAACTACTTGCCACACACCTTTAGATTTCTCCTCATTGCGTTCAGAAGACTGAATATTGTCAGTGTCGTTACCAAACAGAAAAATATCGTTTGGGTATTCCAGGTCAACAAGATGACCTCCTAAGAGTGAATCAATTCTTTAAACGTTGGAAATACCTAGGGTTATGTCCATTAGTAAGGGTATATAGAATGAATATAGGGAACATCCCTGATGAACACAGCTTGTCGTTGTAGCTTTGGATGACTATTCCTCATAAACCCTTACATAACTAAGCAATTTGGATCAGGAAGATTTGATTAGCATATCATACTTAATCAGTATTCAATCCATAGTCAGACACAGCTACAACACAACTAGGGTGACAGAGTGGAATGTCATACACAGATCAGTAAAATTATTCCTCGCTGGAATCAGAGAGGCGAAATGACACCGATTGGTGAAAGCCTTCAGCAAGCCAATTGGCCAATCTAACTTCTCTTCTCTCGATGGAAGTGAAAGTAAACGTGGGCACATGGAATTTCCACACCATGTTTGAACTCACCGAGGCAGCCCAGATCGCAAACGAGATGAGAGGGTATCGCATTGAAGTACTAGGAATTTGTGAAAGTAGATGGAATGGGAGTGGACTCTCCAAACTGTCAACTGGAGAGCAGAGTCAATAATCTACTCGAATATTGTCACCCAGACGACAACTATGAGCACACTGAGTTATGCAGTGGCTATCATCACGTCCCCTTGATGAGCATCAAAGGCTCTCTCTCATGCAGGGGGAACCAATCTCCTCCACAATCAGGATCATGACAGCAAGGTGGATTCAACTCAAAATGAAGGATGGCCACAATCATACAATGCTACACTGCACATCTACAAGTGATGGAGATCAAGAGAAGAAGGAGGAATTCTACAGACAACTGCAATCAACACTAGACAACACCCCAGCTCAGTTGGCAACATCAAAGTTCATTCTAATGGACGACATGAATGCCAAACTGGGAGCGGACAACACAGGAAGAGAACCAATCATGGGTCGAGAAGCGCTCGGTGAAATGAAAGAGAACGGAGGATTGTTTGCAGAATTCTATGCATTCAACGATTTGATGGTTGGAGGTAGTGTGTTCAAGCACAAGGATATTCACAGTGCGACATGGATTTCACCAGACACCAGATTTCACACACTACACTGGAAATCAGATCGACTTCATCTCAATGGGAAGAAAGTGGAGATGCACTCAGCCTACTTGACACAAGGTCAGATCAAGAAAAGGAGCAGATGTAGGTTCAGACCACTTACTGTCTAGTGCAAGGAACCTACCTTCAAAATCAAGTTGAGAGCCTTCAGCCCAAGGAAGTTGATGAAAGACCAGTGTTCAAGTACAACACTCGGAAACTGAAGCATGAAACTACAAAGGGAATCCTCACGTCAGCCATGAAGACAAAATAGGAGATATCGAGCAACATCCTTGAAGAAATCTGTGTGGAAGAACACTGGAAATCTTTGAAAGAGATGTGGAAAGAAATCTGCACAACCGAATTAGGAAGGAAGGAAGAAGAAAGAAGATGAGGAATGGATCTCGACGGACACATGGAAGCTGAGAGAGCAGGGAGAAGAGGATGGTGAAGCAGAAGATGAACCAGTGTAACGATGCACAACGACATGAGGATCTGAGTACAATGTATAAAACACTGGACAATGAAGTGAAGAAGAGTGCACGGAAAGACAGAAGATACTTCGACGACACACTGGCGAGTGAGGCAGAACAGGCTGCTGGCTGGTAGGAGAGACAGAGACCTGACAACATTGTATCAAATAACCAGGTTACTATCTGGTAGGGAAGAGATTAACACAGATGAAAACAATAAAAGATGATGAAGGAAATCTAATTGGCAAGGAAGAGAAACAGAGCAAACAATGGACTGACCACTTCGAAAAGCTCAGGAATCGACCACCACCACCACCACCACCCGCACTTCGTCCAGAAAGACCACCTGCAGTCCAGTCACAGAACTACAAAAGAACACAAATCCAACGCCACACTACGCATCATCATAGAACAGAGTATAGAATGGCAGTCAACTCAATTCTCATTCTCAACTTCATCGACTTTGAGAAGGCCTTCGACAGCGTCGACCGAGAAGTAATTTGGAAACTGCTTCAATACTACGCAATACCGCAAACCCTTACCTTTATCAACCTGATTCAACAACTATATGAAGACGCCACATGCCAGCCAAGTAATTCACAATGGGGAGCTCAGTGATGCCTTTTAAGTGAAGTGAAGACAGGAGTGAAACAGTGCTGTCTACTACCACCTATGATATTCCTGATTGTGGTCGACTGGATCATGCAGCAAACAGTGAGGAGCGAGGAGAGGGGGATACGCTAGCTGGACTGCGGAAAAGAACCTAGAAGATTTGGATTTCGTCGACGACTTGTGTCTGATGTCGCACAAACTGGAAGATCTACAGGCGAAAACCAACAAGTTGACAGAAGAGGCAGAGCAGGGCAGTGAAGATGGGACTTCCTTCAGGTGGATGTAGAGAAGACAGAGGTGATGAAGATACCCAACCAACAAACAACACCAACAACAACAACAGAAAGCTCCAATCACCATCAACGGGAGAAACTTAAAGAGAGTAGCCTCCTCCACCTATCTAGGCAACACTGTTTCAACTACAGGTGGCGGTACAGACGAGGATATCAAAGTCAGAATCGGAGAAGCAAGACAGGCATTCATTAACCTGAAACCAGTGTGGAGGTCTTCTGCACTGCACTCAGCATAAAGCGTGAACAACATCCGGATTTTCAACACCAACGTGAAGTCAGTGCTTCTGTATGGTTCAGAGACTTGGCGCGTTACGAAAGGGATTTCCAACACACTACAGACATTCATCAACAACTGCCTATGCTGGCTCGTTTCTGAAGATCAGATGGATTGCCAGAATAATAAGAATAAGCAACAAGGAACTCTGGCTGGCTGGCTGGCTGGTAACGAACCAACCAGGAACCTATCGCTGAACAAATATGCAGAAGGAAGTGTAGATGGATTGGTCATACAGTGAGAATGGTGACTGGGGTCATCATGCAACAGGTCAAGCTGTCGAGTGGAACCCAGATGGGAAGTGACGAGTTGGTTGTCCGAGGGTGACATGTAGGAGTTGATGTGAGGAGGAAATGAGAGGTTGTGGGCTGTTTTGGAAGCAGGTTGAAAGGATTTCAGAGAACAGAGCTCATTGGAGACGTGCTACTGAAGCCTATGTTCTATTATGAACCCAAAGAACAACTAGTAATTTATTATCTTACATCTGGAGGCCATGTAGGAATGTTTAATAGTCATCATCAAGGGAGGGTGGATGAATTGCAGAAGGAAGACAGTTGTTTTGGATACACATTGCTGAGTAAGACTTGAACTGATGACCATATTGCAAACTTGAATAATAGACTTGAATTAGGCATTGAAACTCCTTAGCTATATAGATTGCCATCCAGTTATCATCTCGTGAGAAAATGGCAGCAAGTATTTAAGTGAACTAATTTATCAGAGCCAAAGAAATATTATTAAGCCGTGGGAATTCCCTAGGGTCAGCAAAATGAGATCCTATCAATGTATGATTTTTTTTTCTCCATAAGCAAGCTTATAATGTTAGCTATCGGAATTAGTTTAGTTGGACAACCTGTCAATCTGACAAAAATTGGGGAAGAAAAATGGTTCAGGTTAGCGGATTAACTTCAGAAAACTCAGAGTGAAGTTAAAACGCGAAAAGAATAAACACGATTGAATGTTTTCCATCCATCAAGAAGATACCATTTATAGAAAAACAGAATAAAAGGATCAGTTAAATAAATAAACCTACGTGTTTTATGCAAAACGAAGAGAGATAGGGAATAGAATATAAAAAATGTAACAGCATTCATATAGATATTCGACCATATAATCTGCTTTCAGACAAAACTTTAACAACAGTAGTAGAGGAGAAGGGATAGGGATAGAGGAAGTAAGATAATAGTGAAGGTGTATAGTATATGCGAAGCTAAGCATGAATAAAAGGGAAAGAAGAAAGTATTTACTTCAAAAGCAACAACGTAAAGCTAGAAATGCTTGACAACTTCAATAACTGGTACATGAAAATACTGGTTACTGGACAATTTGAATAAGCCATCAGCATTCAAGCACGTAAATCAGTAACTGCACAGATTAATTTCTAGATACATTTGAATAATTCTACAATATGTTATTGCTACTGACAAGAATATCTCAGATGAAGATGTTAGACTTAGATAAGTAAAACATAGTCAATCAAAAGCAGACAATATGTCAAGAACAGAAGTAACAACAATTTAAATAGGTGGTGAAAATACTATGAAGACTATAGTGGCATACAATGCTGGATGTCTCAATCTTCTCTTGATTACATACACCTTTATATATAGACGAGTTTTGGGTAGGCTTATTCAAAGTCTAGCGACAAATCAAAGGTCCACTCTTTCATCCTCAGTGATAATACAGCTTTCCTTTCGAATTTGATCTATTAAGTAGCAAAAGCATCGCTCAACGTATATTTTCAGCAATTAATCTGAGTCTACTGCTAAATTTATAAGCTTAGCTATCCTGATCTGTATAAAACTGTGAATGATTACTATTAGGTGCATAACAATCACTGAAGCTCAGTAACGCTTAGTAACTTAATGAAATGATCAGTGAATTTGGAAGTAATACAGACAAAAGGAGGATGTTAGTGAAATTCAGATACAATCCAATCTAATGAAATGTCACAAACATGATACGATAGATTATTGTGTTCTTTGACGCCGTCAAGCTTAATGACATGACTGATCGATCAAATATGCATTTTTATAGTGCAAACTAAAGTCACTTCTACTGCTTACCACTCAGTAGTGTGAATTAACTATTGGCTTGGTCAGATTTTATCTTACCGCCTAGAATGAATACACCTCAGTGAGGTTAGTAAATAACACTGTTCAGTGACGTTCAGTGAAGCTAGAAGTTCGATTCTAGAACATTTGATTGACTACCATCACAGAACAAATCCAGACGATAACTTTGAAATTATTTATTGATTTCGCCCAAACCTCCCATGTTCTCTTCGTTTTCAACTCCTTAAAACAGCGGAGGCTTTAGCTATTCATGAACTAAGACCTGATCTGTGTGTACAAAAGAAGTATGTGCAGTCATTGTCTTTATCATGGCCATAACATTTTCGCACCCCATTAGCTCCCCTCCCACTTTGTTAATTTAACCTTTGTATCCTTGCTTTATCACTATTATTGTTATTATAATCGCCTTCACTTCAACTAGTTTCCGGTGTTGTTTCACTTAATTGTCTTAATCCTTTTAGAAAACATTGACTTCATCTTGTCCAACTTGTCTAATGCCACTACATAATACTTAATTGATTTACAATTGATTTTCAACAATTTTTTCACCCCCTTCTGAGTTATATACTCTCTATGTACCATTCCATATATTACATAATCTATTTGTTATCATTCGCACTTCAATTGTTATTATAATCACAAATGCCTATGTCATCATCCGCTCTACTATTATTGTCATCACCATGTAGTGTTTAGTTTTCCTCAAGGAATATAATTTTTTCCAAATATCATATATATACGATTGTATAGCTTGAAAATAAATTCGTTGAAAAGAGTCTCTTCGTTGGATATGTAGTATAGTAATAGTGTAGGTTGGAATCCCAGTCAGGATATCAATTTCCTTGCTGACGAGTGCCAAAAAGCACGAAAAGCAGGTTCAAGGCTTCCTGCCAATTTCCTGCAGCCGACTAACATCCATCAAAGTGTATCGCAGTGGTAAACCTCCTAGCTTAGTCGCCACATTGCAAAATGATTAATAGGATTCGCTCAAAAATCAGGACTAGACAACAGGAAATTGGTCACTCTCCAGTGATCAGTCAACTTATACGTACTGTAATCTTTTAAACACTTAAGTTTTGTGATGAATGAAATTACGAGTAATTTACACTACGAAAACAATAGTTTGTAATGCTGTTCACATTTAAGGATGAAATATTCTATGCTTCATTCTTGTAATAACTTTAGGCATTTGTGTTAATTGTGACTTCTTGTTCAATGATTTTGCATAAATGACCTGCTCACTTGTCCAGTGGTCAGCCATAGAGTATGAAAGCACAATAGGTAAACAGTATCGTGTACAAATATAGATTATAAGCGAATTATCAACTTTTAAATCAAGTGAACATTATCATAATTATGAGGAAAACGTTACAGACCACTCACAGACGAATGAAACTGTTGAAGACTACGGTGGATTTGAAACCTGATTAAAAGGTAGTTTTCCTATCTCAGTGGATGATATAGCATTGGAGCGACAATCTAGAGCCGTAGGTTAGCATTCTACTTTGACCTAATTTTCCGGTCTAGCTTTAACCATCATTATTCTATCTACAATTACAAATGGTCGGCCTATCAAGGTTATCAGTCTAGTCAGCAATTGTTTACTATTGTCTCATATCAAAATACTTCAACAGATGTGATGGATTGGGACGTCGTTCACATGAGGAATCATGTTTTGAAAGTAATTCATCATCATTAGTATCATTTAATAGTGATCGACGAAACTTTACTTCACTTACCAGTAACTGTTCTCTTAAATTAATAACATTGCCCAAATCACCTTGAATCGGTACGAGAATTTCACGAAACGCAGCATCTCTGTGCGACAGCCAGTCATTTAATTCCTTTAGTTTGGCCAAATATAAACTTGTATTGCCAGAACTGGAATGCATTGTACGTCTGTTGAAAAAAATCAGGTGAAAAAACATGAATAGTAGAAAGCTTTATCCCATTTACTATTACAAACGATAATGAAGAGGAGAAAAATAGGATCGTAGTTTTTCGCTTAGTGTGAATGCTGCTTTTCTATACCTTTATCCAAAAGTTTCCGAAAATAATATTCTTTAGCATTACGCTGTATATGTCATCTGTCCATGTCATCTAGGATACAGTAATTTTCAGATATACAACTTGTAAATACTAGTTTCGTTCACTGAAAAGGGTTATGCAATCATAGCTTGTTCCTCGTTAGTAGTTGCAGCTACTGGTATGGCGCTGTTATTCATCTGACAGTAATTGTTCCCCACAGCCTATTGCGTAGATGTGTATGTTGTCACTTAGTCACTCACTACCATTACTGTCTTACTACCCTCTGCCCCAAAGTTTGTTTATCATTCAGCCATAATACACAGTCTGATACCCTTCCAAGACATTGTTTAGGTTAGTACTTTCTATGTTCAAAAAATCTGTCACTGAAGGGGTTGAGAAAGGTGAAAAGGTTTGTGTATTGTTGATAAGTTGTGAAAAACCACTGATGGACCTCCAGATATGGTGTTGAATGAAAATGAAATCATTATAGTTTGCTAGACGACAAAAATGAAGAAACATGGCAAGTTTCTTTAAAAGACAACATATCAAACACCATTTGAAGCCTGTCCCACAACATTTTAGTTTAGTTAAGACAAGAAAATATCCATCGTTTTGAATAAAATACACTGACTGACTAAGTGGCCGTTTGTTGGATAAAAGAGTTATTACTTCAGTCCAAGAGGTATGCCGACTAACTTTATCGTTCGTACGGTTTAAACTAGGATGGAACACGTAGTTCTATATAACACTTTTCAACTTTCAATAAATGGACGGTACGTTATCTCTATAGACAGAAATGTGAAATAGGAAAGAAGCAAAATATCTAAAAAGAAGTGATTCGCTTGATAGTACCTTGCAGTGGAATCCAGGGCATCACTCAGTGGGATGCAAGTACGTCCACCTGATCATTACCAAATAGTATGAAACATGCGTGCTGGATTCCACGCAAACTACAAGGCAGTGAATAAATAGGCATCCGCATAGGATCCAATATGTCAACAGAGGTCGGTCAAAAGGATCCAGTAAAACAACGCAGAATAACAAGTAGCAATAAACAACAGTGGTTAAAAGGAAGACAAAGAGAAAAATAACTTTTTAGCATTTCAAAAATTCCACAGTGTTCCATGAAACTGAGACTGAAGAGAAACTAAGCTAAACATGAAGAAAAATAAGTAGTCAAGTATAATAAACGATTCACTAAGAATGTCTCAGAGGATTTTCTTTACACGCGTTTGGATGATTCTTCAAAAAAATGTAAAGCTTTTTGAAGATTTTAGTTAAATAAACATCACTAAACAGTTAAGTCTTCATGTATTATCTTTGAAAATAAGAGATGACTGTCTGCTTTCCTTAAATCTTACTTCAACGATTGTGCCTGATGGTAGGCCTGATTCAGTGGATTTGTGAGTATAAATCTGATAAAAAAGACCAGACTATATCTAATCGCAGCTTAATGTCAAATAAGGATACTATAGATAAAAAAACATTGGTTAGATCAAATATTGAGCATAAATCATCCTGTATTGAAACATTGAAAATGATGGTATTCTGTCGTATAAATGGATTTTCTTATCCTTTAAAAAAGAATATAATATTTTGGAGAATAAGTGATCTAAATAAGTTTAAGAAAAGTTTTGCAAGAGAAATGAGAAATAAATGAGTGCGTGAGTGAGTGAGTAATGCAAGAATACAAGCGTAAATTTAATGCATTTATAAATCTATCTAAATTTCGTAGAAACGCTAACTACTATATTGAAGAAATTCTAGCTGTGTTGAAAACTCAGTTGAAAATGTAGTATTACAACTATGTTTGTATATTGCAAACTACTCTTCTGTCCACTTTTGTTAGCCTGTTATGCTCAAATTATGGATATTTTGTAGATAATCTCCCTGAATCAACGAAAAATTTGTCAAGTAAGCAATGACAGAAAAAAAATTCAAAATTTCAAGTATTAAAATAAGCCTTAAGAAGATATTATTTATTTTTCTATTACCGTGTCAGTGTTTACAACTGATGTGTAAGTAGAAAAAATGAAGGAAAAAATCGTTTCAAAGGAAAAACATGCCATAGACAAACACGCAAAGCAGAAGTGGTTGATATGAATGAACAGGATAACTCGAAGATTACTTTCCAGAAATCGATGATCAGCATTGAAAATCTAGACCAAATGTAGCAGAGCTCACATTCACACTGAACCCATCTTAGTGTAACTTTCAAATATAAAATCTGATATTGATAAAGATTTATGCTCGATGATTTGTATCTCATTTGAGAACTGATCACCTGGGAAAATGAAAATCCTACTTGACTGTGAAGTGTCAAATTGTTTGTGAATTCCACTTCACTTTTGACAACATATAACAATGATGGTGTGTTTTGATGAGGAGTGTGTTGCAGAAACCACAGAATTATGAGTTGCAGATGGAGCCCTAATAACTGAAATGTTAACCGTTTGAAATCATGGGAAGATAGCTGGGTGTAATTCTCTTATTTCAGTTTATTCCCTCTATTAGGAGGATTATTAACTCATTAAGGGGTGTGGAATAATTCTTAAGTCACATTAAACAGTAGTAAACATTAGAAGTTTCGACTGCTACGAACTTTTTTAAAATTTCAAAAATTGACTGTTTCATTAGATGCTAAGAGATATATATGACTCAAGTTCACTCTGAAAGTCGTTCATAGATTTCGGGACTTTGCGAATGCAATAATCAGTTGTGGGAAAGCTTCATGATGATGACATTTGAGACACTGAGGATGAGTCCTAGTTTAGTAGATTAGTCAGTTTGTTCTCAACAATGAACCATTTTCAACACTCGTATAGAACCACATATTCCTTTACTAGCTCGGTCTGATCTGGTATGTTGTATTTACTTGAAGTTCATATTTAAGTATATATTGTCATGACACTTTAGAAAAACTATTTCTTATCGTCCACTCAATGCATACCACTTTGGCATAGCGTTTCATGACGTGACGTAAAACCTTAGTGGATAAACTACCGAATAAAGCCTTACATTTCATCACTGTCCCAACATTTTGAAAACTTTAATTAATATTTGGTACATAAAATTCTATCAAGAATAATGCCACCTATCCTATTGAATAGTTGGATGAAATTTATCCTGTTGAGCTGTGAAAATGCATCAGTGAAGTTGACTTTGTCCCACTCAAGGTAATTGAAAACAGTAATTGTCGGTAAAGTATTTTGCCGACTTTCAGAAAAACGCATTTTTATGCAACGCTTCAAAATCATGTCAGTCATAGCTGCAGTTAAAGATAATACGGCTGAATAATTCAGGCTATAAATGACTCATTGTAGTGTGCTATTCAACCTATGGAAGGTGGATTTATGGCGAGTTTTTCAACCCTCATGGCTCACCAAACTCTGTTGATCGACTTTTCAATATGATCTTTAAAATGCGTGATTCACCACTGTATTCTACATTGTCCGATAAAAAAGGGTTGGTAACAATTAACAGTCAATATGGTAGATGCCATTGTGAAGCATGGGGCCTGGCTTCTACGTACATTGTCCACTGGATGATGAGTTTTGTAGTATGGTGACAGCAATGAAAGATGAATGAGATTAGAGGTCACCGTAACAATGACTGAAATAGTCAGATTTTATTTCTGCTTGAAAGGTCAGATTCTCACAAAATCAAGAAACCTAATTGCTCATTTCACTTATTTCTGGGGTGGCTTTAAAGTCACTCTTTTTTTTACCACACATTTAACTACGGCAGTTTGCTACAGGACTGGTTGAGTGAATCTAAAGGCCACCCTAGCAACCACCAGTCTAATCAACCAGACTTTTTATTTCGGGTGCGGTGGCATTTCTTTATCAGATGAAGAAACCTAATTGGCTAATTTACTAGTCTCAAGTGGCCTTTAGAGTCACTCGAATAGTTAGCAATCATAAACATTACTGACAACAGTGAAGTTCAGGAATCCAAAAGAATTAATTACCGTATAAACAACACCGCACTACATACACCTACTAGTAGAAAAGTTGTAGGACTTTATAAACACCTGTGCACATCAAGCTGAGATTTATCTGCACAGTAAAAGAAGGAATCCCGAACAAGGAATTGTTTGGCTCTTGTAAGAGAAGTATTTCAAAGAATGCTCGCTACCGATAAACGTTACTGTTATTTATTGGGGACAGGAGTTATAATTATAGCTTCAAAGTATAACTTATGTCGATACTTTCTGTTCATTTAGATATACAACAAGAATTAATTCAAGCTTATACACATGAATTACCCAAATAGTGACTGAAATAAAGGCATACAAATAACATGATTACGAAACTCACCTGGCATACGTGACACTATTGAGTCATTCGTGAAATCTAAGTACGGAGATATATGCGTCTGTGAAAGTTATCGGCTTCTGTGAATTACTTAGAAGTTTTGAAGAAGAATACTGTCTTTACGCACAAATACTGGAGACGTGTTCAATTGCACTTTCCCCCTCAGTTATCGGCAAAATAGCAGACTTTATCAAAACTTGTAGCTGTTTGCCTTTCTAGTTTGATAGGATTTGCTATGGACTTTCAACCAAATTTTTGTCGTAGATCATAAGTGACATCAAAAAATCTGTTGTTCATAAGCTAAAATCTATACCTTTTATGTGGAAATGATGCTTTATTTTGAGCTTTGAGCTTTGCTATCATCATAGACACCATGAAAACCCACTTTAGATAATATCTGGTTCAATGGTAAGGTATTGAAAACTGGAACTGAAGTCTAATGGGCAGACTTTTAACTCTCCACATTCATACATTGAAATGCAAGTACTCACTTCTGTGTATATGGCTTTTTCATTTGATTTCAGAAGGTGTTTTAGGAAACTATTGTACTTAACTTTCATATGGGTTAAACAATCGCTTCAATGGATACATTTCTATATCGGTAGCAATACGACAGGCCTTATTCTTATGTTTTCAAGTTGGTATTCATCATGGACTGATATCAGCTGGAGGAACATTGAAAACCTGGGAGAATTCGACAGCTATTTCGTCCTGAAATGGTGGGGCAAACCTGGTAAACGTGAGGACAAATACTCAAAGTTGACATTGAGTGATGGTCACAGTATATCATGAAGTGAAAGAAGTCGGAAATATGGACCACTGGATTTTGACCTAGTGCTTCAGTGGTAACATGCTTGGTTCGATCCTTGACGAGGTCGAGGGTGCGCGCTGCTAAGGGGAAGACAGCTGTTTAGTGCTCCCAGGTTCCCAATATTCCATCAACCGATGTCAATCCATTATGCGTACCAATCTGAAACCAATTAATCCCTACAAACTTTTAAACTGAATTAATCTTATATGTCTCATGTCATCCATCATTTATTTATAGCGCATCAATCAGTACATAATTGACTATGAAAATTTTATTTGATCATAGTGTTTTCAGTATCAAAATGACAGGAGGTTGAGCCACAATCAGTTCACTGGAATCCTGAAAACCTATCCACAAATTGGTTTGCACACAGAACAAACATATCTCTAATGCATACATGTTGCATTGGATACTTTATTTTTGAATATGATCAGTTTTAGGTTGTGGTGAAGAAAAAAAAAGATAAATTTGTGTTTGACTGCATAACTCTGACACTTTCTTACTAATGTATAGCTGATATTTTTTGTCAGAGGAATAAAATTTTATCATTCATTTTTAAAAATTGAGCTTACTTTGTCCTGTGAACATTCTAAATCAAATAGGATGCTCTAGAATAGCACTTCTAAACTACCGTTCAGTTGAAAAAAAAGTTTGGAAATAAGTGTCACTGACTTAGAAGATGTGATGCATTTTACAAGATGTTATATCCTTTTGTGGCATGGAATTTCTGATGGTAATCATGTCATCAACCCACCAACTGACTACATCAGATTACCAGGTAGTTATCTGAAGTTCAAAGCTGTAAGTATGGTAAAGCATTTGCTATGGAAGTGAAGAAAAACTAATGAACTTAAAAAATATGTTAAACACTAATAAACGAATTTATTCCCAAGCTGATATATATATATATATATATATATATATATATATACATATATATATATATATAATCCGTGAGGAAGATTCAACTGTCTCTACCTTGGCCTTAATTTATTTTAGTCTTGGTGCATTTCGTCCTCTTTTTTCGTTTTTCACCCCCTTTTCCTTTTTCGTCAGATCAATCTTTGTACTCTTATTTTGTCATTATCACTTTATTTTTACATTTAATAGTTTACGGTATTAGTTCATTTGTTCTTCCTAATAATCGCAACTTTTGACATTTTCAATTTACTCCAATTAACTTGTCTTATATTACCTAATCCTTTGATTGTTTATTAACGTTGTCACCCCTTTTAATTTACATGCACTTTATAAACGATTTGAAAATCTTACGTAACCCCTTTTTATTATCATTCCACCTTTATGTCATCAACTAGTAATGTTATTATTATCACCATTATTATTGTTTCAACTCCCATTATTTCAGTTAAATCTTCCTCATGGATTACAGTCTTTAAATATCATATATACATATACGAATGTACAGCTTGAGAATAAATTCTTTTAGAAGAGTCCTCTTCTCTGAATATCTTGTTTTTGATGTTACAATGGGGATGATGAACGTACTGACAAAATTTACTAGTGAGCTTTAAAATCAGTAAGAAACTAGTTACGCTGATATTTGGAATTTGCTAGGCAGATAAAAGTTATCTAGTCACGACAGACAGTTTCATGCATGGATTGTTGAGAAGCTGTCTATCAGTCTAATGGTAATGTGCTTGTTGTTAGACAAGAAATCATGGATTCCATTATGCAAGGGATTGAGGTTATTGGTTACTAATTTCAGCGCTTTCCAAGTTACTGAAGCTTTTCAAATCAAAAACTAAATAAATAAACATCATCAGCGGATAGGTGTAATGATAATATATATCCATAGAAATGTGAACTCACTTTAAATTAGCAATCTTATCCCTTAGTTGGCGGAGACGTCTGAAAAATTCTTGATTAGGTAAAACGTTTAATGCCTGAGCTGATGATTTTGCACTGCTAGCAATCTGTGTAGCAATCATGTTAATTTCTATTTGTAATGTCTGTAAAACAAAGAAGGAGAAAAAGAAGAAAGTCAATTGTGAAAAACTAGTAGCTGTTTGAGGTATATTTTGAAGTTTTCGAGTAATATTCTTCAGAACTGACTCTCAATGATCTGTCTATCTAACTGCATCATCCACTCAAAAGTCAAGTCAGTCTTGTCTTCCACAGACTTCATTTAGTTGACCACCTTTCTAGCATCTGTAGTAGTTAGACACAGGTCAAGTGTTAACAATCTCAGTTGCATTTATATCTAAAACAAGGGAACTCAGAATAGCAAGCTGTATTGTTCTAAATATTAAGTTTTTAATTCAACACTAAATTGTCACAAGACTAAGATGACATTAGTGAACAATTTATCCTAAGGTGATAAAAGGGTGTTAATCAGTGTTGTTTTTCTATCATATAATAAAGGACGAGTGGTGGTGAGGACTGAAAAATCTGTTTTTCTCCCTCAGCCTCACCCATTATTTGAAAGCTAAGTAATAACACTAAATGGAACTATTTCAAATAATTTATCATAAATCTCATGTTGTCTGCAATAAATGAATTCAGTCTACATACGAAAACCTTGACATTAATACTAAGAAGATCAATTAAAATTGAACAGATAAGGAATGAACAAGATAATGTTACAGATTAAATATGATTTTTTAAAAATTACTGTGTTGAAAGGATATTTATTCAGTTGAAAGTTTTCCTAAACTAAGGTACTCAACACTGTAGTTGCTAGGGCAACAGTTTTGAAGGGCAATAAATAGAAAACTGGATGATAAGGGCAAAATTTGCAGTTTGCAGTCATGACTAGTAATCTCGACAGTAGAAAATCTTCCTTAAACTCTGTAGACACCTATAACTGGAAATCGTTTACAGTCACTGACTTTACCAAATTATAATACCAAAACGAAATATAAAAAATAATAACAAAATTATTCCTCGCTGGAATCAGAGAGGCGAAATGACACCGATTGGTGAAAGCCTTCAGCAAGCCAATTGGCCAATCTACCTTCTCTTCTCTCGATGGAAGTGAAAGTAAACGTGGGCACATGGAATTTCCACACCATGTTTGAACTCACCGAGGCAGCCCAGATCGCAAACGAGATGAGAGGGTATCGCATTGAAGTACTAGGAATTTTTGAAAGTAGATGGAATGGGAGTGGACTCTCCAAACTGTCAGCTGGAGAGCAGAGTCAATAATCTACTCGAATATTGTCACCCAGACGACAACTATGAGCACACTGAGTTATGCAGTGGCTATCATCACGTCCCCTTGATGAGCATCAAAGGCTCTCTCTCATGCAGGGGGAACCAATCTCCTCCACAATCAGGATCATGACAGCAAGGTGGATTCAACTCAAAATGAAGGAAAGCCACAATCATACAATGCTACACTACGCATCTACAAGTGATGGAGATCAAGAGAAGAAGGAGGAATTCTACAGACAACTGCAATCAACACTAGACAACACCCCAGCTCAGTTGGCAACATCAAAGTTCATTCTAATGGACGACATGAATGCCAAACTGGGAGCGGACAACACAGGAAGAGAACCAATCATGGGTCGAGAAGCGCTCGGTGAAATGAAAGAGAACGGAGGATTGTTTGCAGAATTCTATGCATTCAACGATTTGATGGTTGGAGGTAGTGTGTTCAAGCACAAGGATATTCACAGTGCGACATGGATTTCACCAGACACCAGATTTCACACACTACACTGGAAATCAGATCGACTTCATCTCAATGGGAAGAAAGTGGAGATGCACTCAGCCTACTTGACACAAGGTCAGATCAAGAAAAGGAGCAGATGTAGGTTCAGACCACTTACTGTCTAGTGCAAGGAACCTACCTTCAAAATCAAGTTGAGAGCCTTCAGCCCAAGGAAGTTGATGAAAGACCAGTGTTCAAGTACAACACTCGGAAACTGAAGCATGAAACTACAAAGGGAATCCTCACGTCAGCCATGAAGACAAAATAGGAGATATCGAGCAACATCCTTGAAGAAATCTGTGTGGAAGAACACTGGAAATCTTTGAAAGAGATGTGGAAAGAAATCTGCACAACCGAATTAGGAAGGAAGGAAGAAGAAAGAAGATGAGGAATGGATCTCGACGGACACATGGAAGCTGAGAGAGCAGGGAGAAGAGGATGGTGAAGCAGAAGATGAACCAGTGTAACGATGCACAACGACATGAGGATCTGAGTACAATGTATAAAACACTGGACAATGAAGTGAAGAAGAGTGCACGGAAAGACAGAAGATACTTCGACGACACACTGGCGAGTGAGGCAGAACAGGCTGCTGGCTGGTAGGAGAGACAGAGACCTGACAACATTGTATCAAATAACCAGGTTACTATCTGGTAGGGAAGAGATTAACACAGATGAAAACAATAAAAGATGATGAAGGAAATCTAATTGGCAAGGAAGAGAAACAGAGCAAACAATGGACTGACCACTTCGAAAAGCTCAGGAATCGACCACCACCACCACCACCACCCGCACTTCGTCCAGAAAGACCACCTGCAGTCCAGTCACAGAACTACAAAAGAACACGAATCCTCCAACAGAAGTCGAAGTCCTGAGCGCCATACAGCTACTGAAATGCGGGAAAACAGCAGGACAAGATGGAATGCAGCCAGAAGCACTGAGAGCAGACGCAGAGACAACAGTGGACATGATCACACCACATCACTATTGCACAAGGTCTGGAAGGAGGGAAAGGTACCTGAAGGTTGGTAGGAAGAAGGGCGACCTCAGTGTTTGCAAGAACTGGTGAGGAATCACGCTCCTCTCTACCCCAAGCAAGATATTAGGCTGCTTCATATTGGAGAGACTAAAGGATGCACTGGATTCAAAACTACGACCGAAACAGGCTGGCTCCCTTCAGGAAGTACAAATCATGTGCCGACCAAATTGCAACGCCACACTACGCATCATCATAGAACAGAGTATAGAATGGTGGTCAACTCAATTCTCATTCTCAACTTCATCGACTTTGAGAAGGCCTTCGACAGCGTCGACCGAGAAGTTATTTGGAAACTGCTTCAATACTACGCAATACCGCAAACCCTTACCTTTATCAACCTGATTCAACAACTATATGAAGACGCCACATGCCAGCCAAGTAATTCACAATGGGGAGCTCAGTGATGCCTTTTAAGTGAAGTGAAGACAGGAGTGAAACAGTGCTGTCTACTACCACCTATGATATTCCTGATTGTGGTCGACTGGATCATGCAGCAAACAGTGAGGAGCGAGGAGAGGGGGATACGCTAGCTGGACTGCGGAAAAGAACCTAGAAGATTTGGATTTCGTCGACGACTTGTGTCTGATGTCGCACAAACTGGAAGATCTACAGGCGAAAACTAACAAGTTGACAGAAGAGGCAGAGCAGGGCAGTGAAGATGGGACTTCCTTCAGGTGGATGTAGAGAAGACAGAGGTGATGAAGATACCCAACCAACAAACAACACCAACAACAACAACAGAAAGCTCCAATCACCATCAACGGGAGAAACTTAAAGAAATTAGCCTCCTCCACCTATCTAGGCAACACTGTTTCAACTACAGGTGGCGGTACAGACGAGGATATCAAAGTCAGAATCGGAGAAGCAAGACAGGCATTCAATAACCTGAAACCAGTGTGGAGGTCTTCTGCACTGCACTCAGCATAAAGCGTGAACAACATCCGGATTTTCAACACCAACGTGAAGTCAGTGCTTCTGTATGGTTCAGAGACTTGGCGCGTTACGAAAGGGATTTCCAACACACTACAGACATTCATCAACAACTGCCTATGCTGGCTCGTTTCTGAAGATCAGATGGATTGCCAGAATAATAAGAATAAGCAACAAGGAACTCTGGCTGGCTGGCTGGCTGGTAACGAACCAACCAGGAACCTATCTATGAACAAATATGCAGAAGGAAGTGTAGATGGATTGGGCATACACTGAGAATGGTGACTGGGGTCATCATGCAACAGGTCAAGCTGTCGAGTGGAATGCAGATGGGAAGTGACGAGTTGGTTGTCCGAGGGTGACATGGAGGAGATCATGTGAGGAGGAAATGAGAGGTTGTGGGCTGTTTTGGAAGCAGGTTGAAAGGATTTCAGAGAACAGAGCTCATTGGAGACGTGCTACTGAAGCCCTATGTTCCATTAGGAACCCAAAGGACTAATGATAATATAATGATAATTGTCAACTTTATGTTCCTTAGAAATCTATTTGCTATGACTCAGTTGCTTGAATAAAACTAGATTGTAGCTTAGCTGGAGTTAAATATGGTTAACCAGCTAATGTTCTGTTGACATTCAACTCATTTAGTACAATGCATGATGGTTGTTAGTCACGTACAATCTTCCTTAGTTTTAATCTTTCGAAGTTTAGCGAATGAATAATTTGATCAAAACCTTTTAATGATTCATAGTCACTTTCGATTAGATTAGGGGACATCACTTCCCTCAGGCTGCAGATACGCCGTGTTGATGGGTGCCAACAAGCACGAAATCTAGGTCAAGGTCTTCCCGCTGATTGTTTCCAACCAACTAACTAAAAGTTGTCTCAGATTGTGATAGTGTTCTGTGTGAAAATATGTATTTTCTTTGTTTCGTAAGTATCTTTTTTAAAGTGAAAACTGCGATCATAAATCTTTTTTTACTGCAATTAGAAAGCTTGCTTAATTTACTTCGATTTGTGAGTGACATTCTTCATAAATAAATGTGCTTACATCCTAACTAGAAGGCTAAAGTGCAACCATTACTTTGCAAATGAAATATTATTTAATGACAGAGGGCGTTTTAGAAACTATACAGATAGGTAAAATATGCATACGGCATACAGAAAATAAGCGAATTCGTTCACAGAAAGCTGTCTTAGAAAATTCAAGATAACACCTGCTGATAACTTTTAGCCTCACCCTTTAGATTTATTCATATGTAGCAGACCCGTATACATTAGTCTCCTTTTAAAAAGTTGGAAGGCACGTCGTTTATTAGTCGTATCACTTACTTGAAATGATAACGGTGATTAAAAATTAATATGGCCAATTCTAACTTCGAATGAAAACTTTTCCATACTGATTGAAAATATTTACTCACTTGAGTAACCTAAGTTTGACGTAGTAAAGAATAAGATTTTCACGCATGTGAAAGACTTAGTTCATGAAAGTATATTGCTATGCTAAATGACTTAAATACAGGAAATTCTTTGATTGGCAGAAATGAAAGTGAACCAATAATTCACATTAGGTAGCTCATTGAATAAGTTTTATGAAGAAGCTAAAATCCGTTCAACTTTTACCTTAAGTCAAAAACAATAATGATAATGTGTTCATACTGGGTGATGACTGAGGGTAAGATGAGAATTCAGGCCACGGCAGAATTTAAACCAGCGACCACTGGCTTTGCGCCCCCGTGCTCAACCAACTAAGCTACGAGACCCAAATAATCACCAGGTTTTTGTTTTACTCAAATCACCAAAAGTTTTTACCCACTGTCGTGTGAAATCGTGACGCTTACCGGTGCTCAAAGTGGCTGCACCGTCAAGACTTCTCATCCTAATCTAAATCTAACTGAATTAGAGAGGGGGAGTGCCAGTCACCATTCAGTATCAATAAAACTCTTAGGTAATCAAACAGATAGTGTGTCCTATCGATCTTGGTGACTAACAGAGGAACCTGGGATCCGCGTTTCATCCTATTTAGGACTCATCAGCTGGGTACACTTGCACCTCACTCAGTGATGTTGTTCCCACTGTAGCTCGAACTCAGTACCCTAAGCTTCAGATACCAGAGCGTTATCCACTAAGCCACTGGGACACGATACCAACCTCTTATGCAAAGGGTATCATTTGTTGTAATGATACTTGTAATTTCCCGTTACTACACAGGGCCGAATCGCTAGCTTGGCAGATGGGCCCCTATGCGGATGCCTCAATACTGCCGGATATTCAGATAGTGCGTTCATTGGTTAGACATTGAAAAAATGTAACCATTTCATGACATCCATGGTAAGAAAGAGAAGATATATGGTGAACACTTACTTGTGATTCAGAAACAAGATGTGCTCGTTTCTCATTCAACAACTGAACATCCATTTGTGAACCATTTCGATTTAATTCAGCTTCAATTTTCGAGATTGATTGAATTTATTTTCTATTGCTTCTAATTGTTCATTGAGTGTTGGCTTTCTTATCCCATCTGAACTAGATGTTCTTCGATCTTTCAGCTTACTTTGTTGTTCTCTGAAATGATCATGCATCGGGATAAGTGTTTCTTGAAGATATTGTAGTTTTGCTTTTTTAATTCTAGGAATAAGAAGGAATGAATGAAGATGACCAACATTTAAATTGTAACATAGATTGTGTTATTGCGCCAAAAGTGATTGAAAAGTAAAATAAATTGTTTGAACACTATAATTGCTCTTTTAGATTAATCTAGATTACTTGATAAAGAGATGAAGATAATCTGCTAGGCGTTAACACTATACACCTTCAAAAATCTGGCTTCATAATAACTTCATCTAGGGAAGGTTATGATAAAAATGGAAATATATCAAATATCAATCATTTATACTGCTAACTAAAATAAATAATCATAACAAAGACAATGAAGAATAAATGATACAATTTTGCTCATTATTAAGAACAGAATTATGCAAACAACTTTGTCATACACACAGATTGTATATGAATAGAAAAGGCTTGATGGTTTGAGCTAAGTTTCATTGCATTTACATAATTCAAGGCTGTTTGAGTCTATTGAACATATTTTGCTGTATGACAGAGTTAATTATGATCCAGAAACAATATACCAGGTATGAAAAGGATTTTCACTAAGTTAACAAGTGAACTTCGTAATAGGCAGTAAACTGATAGCATTGGAAAATTGTCGAAGTACATATGTTTTTGTCTGTAAGTCATTAACAGTCTTGTTTATATTTTCACTCAGTTGAAAGGCAAGCAGACTTGGTAGGGGGTCACAGTGTACTTTAGTATCTTGAACACAGGTATTAAGGTCGAAGTTCAAGTTTTTACTAATCATTCATTAAAAAATTGTAACACAGACAGTATAGAGGTATCCACTCAGCGGCTCACATACTGATAGAGACCGATCATTTTGGTCCGGTTAACCACCGGATAATAAAAACAACGACCGAAAAAACTATTCCCATCGTACGATAAGTGCCCGTCATTGCTGACTCAGTGATCTAGTGGAGAATGCTGTGGCGTTTGAACCTATTATTCCCAAGTTTGAGTCTTAATGGGAACAATATTCCTCATAGGGACCAACTAACTGACTGGCAAAATCAGCGTCGTAGCTTGTGCAAGGGTTCATAGGCTCAAATCTCCACAATTCAAAGAAGTACACACAAAAAAGGTGGACAGAAAAGGAGTGATATCAAAGCAGACAAAGCAGTATGAGAGAATAAACAATCTAAAGATAAGGGCTAGGGCGAGTATTCAAGCTCTGGATGTCAAGCAGTGAATACATTTGTGATATTAGCACCGATTTCTCGCCGTTTTACCAAGAGTCTTCAACCACTAATCCTTTTCGTTTTGAAGATCCCGACCAGGGAGCCTACGTCTCCTTACACGACTCATACCAACAATCAGGGACTTCATCGGCTGGTGCTACGTCTTGATTTGGCCACCCTGAATCCTTTTCCATCGAAAATCCAACTTCCTCTAGCATGGAACATCGAGAAAGGTGGTGGTTCTCCATGCACAGTACGTACCGAAGCCATCTCAGTCAACTGTGGTTCACAAACTCGTCAACCGACTTGCCTGTCTTGCCTAGTACTCTTCGTCTGACCTAAAGATTGCTCACACAGTGATTTCACCAAAACACAAGGCGTCTGTAGTCAAAACCCTACAACCACTTCATGTCTGCCTCATAGCCATACAACAGGAGAGAACGGACTGCAGAGCAGTATATTCATCCTTTGATAAATATCCGGATATTTCACTGAAGTCACAGGTGACGTGGGTTGGCAAATCATATTATTATTTATTTGTCCCTTGGGTTCCTAGTGGAACATAGGACTTCAGTAGCACGTCTCCATTCCACTCTGTTTTCTGCAAACTTTTGAACCTGGCTCCATGACAGCCCAGAAGCTCTCATTTCTTCCTTACATGATCTCCTTCATGTCACCCTCAGCTGTGACGCCCAACTCATCGTTTCCCATCTGCGTTCCAGTCGACGACCTCGCCTGGCATGTGATTTCCGCAGTCGGCCTTCTCAGTGTATGACCGATCCATCTCCACTTTCTTCTGCAAATGCAAATACTAAGCTGAAATTTCACCAATAACCATCTCTTACAGAAAGGTAGGTACATCCAATTGACAAGTCCTAAATAGGAAAAAACGCAAGTCCTCGATTCCAGTGCTAGCCACCATCCATAATTAAAATGTATTTCTTCAATAATTTATTGAAAGCTGTTGAGGGACAATATTTGTTTGTAATCAGTTAGCGTTAGGTTGACACAACTTTTGCAGTTGGATTGAGAAACATTCTAATGTGGAGTTATCTATTATTGGTACGTGAAGTCGGATAGCTTGGTTGAAATTCAACTGACTAGGTCGAAGAGTAATAGCCTGCTTGAATTTCGGGCCATCAAAGCTTTTTAGTCAAATTGCTCTCTTTTTACTTAGTTTGGTCATTCAAATGTCAACAAATCGTAAAACGTAGTCTCATACATCCTAAAAACTGTTTTCAACTTATCGTTAGGCAAGTCAACAACAAGATTACGAAAAAACGTCACAGAAGATGGCAGCGCACAACTCTACATGATATAGGTATTGCAGAAATAGCTGGAACTACAACGTTCCAAACTGGCTACTGAATGAACCATTACGACTAAATTTATGAGTTCTTATCCGGACATGAAACAACGTACTCACAAACTAGACGATAACCTGAAAGCAACTGGTCATTATGTGTTATTGCTAATCATATTGTTATGAATAACATTATTTATCTGCCATGACTATTTAATTTGAAAATATTGTACAAGGAGAAAATTTGTTGAAAAGTCACACTGAGAACTCCTTACTGCATAAAAGATTATTCAGTGGAATAAAATGATTCTTCTTATTATTATTACAGCTTATCGCCTATTAAACAGCTTATGTGATTATTTAGCCCTTGCAGGATTTCGGCAGATATACAGCTTATATACATGACAGAAAAGATTTTCAGTTAAAAATGAGGATTACGACAGTTCGTTGTTCTTTAATCCACTCAGTGAAGTCGTATATTTATGAAGTTAGTACTGGTGATGCCATGAACACCGGCGACAATAAGTGCAATACTATATATATATACTTAGCACACACGCATATTATAATACGCTTCATACTTTAATGAACTCAAGAAAGCACAGTTGAGATGATTGAGAATTAGGGCTATGATGACAGACTATCTGATCTGTTGGAATTGTGCACTTAACGAAGGTCATTCTGTGTCTCTGAATTTGAATACGATGGTCAGCTTTATTGAGGTGTGAGACAGTAACCACGGTAAGGCAACAAAGAAGAGCATAACATGATACTGGTATAACATATGTGAATAACTTTGTTGTCACATGTAAACATCTCTTCTTTCATAGTACGGTTGCATTGAATATTGAAATAAAACCTTGTGAACAGGACCAGTGTGTGGAAAGAGAAAAAACCAATAAATCCGCTCTGTAAGATTTATGAAACGTTAATTTTAAAGCACACTTCGACCACAATTTTGAATTTAGTTGTTTTTCATAATGATAATAAGTGAAGACATATCTGAGTGAAATGAATAAACCAAAGCTCCTGTTAACGCATACCGACATTCAAACAAAGTCAGACTAAGATCTTCAAAAGCTATTTATATCTGTATGACCCAACACATTCATATGAGAACATTGAGCGAAAATTACCAAGAGAAAGAATGGAATGAAGAGGATATCAAAACCAATCGGAGATCAGAGTATAAATACACTGGAAATAAGATCAAACATAGCATGAATAGCTTGTAATAAGATGTTAAAAGCGTTCAGAGATGTGATAAGTGACAGATTCTATGTCCAGTGATTAAGAATTAGAATTAATGAATTACTGATTGATATTAAGGGGACAGAAAATACCATCTAGCCCCTAACAATGTAATATTCTACTGTCCAAATAGGCTCTGGAAAGGATTCAGTCACCACACCGTTGTCTCCTAGTAATCTATAATATTACTGTGTGTGATATTGTTTTTCATTAAATGACTGATGTTCTTGACTAGTCATTGGAGAGTGACCAACTTCGTGTTGTTTGTCCTGAGTGCCCTTTGATAACCAATCAAAGTATATAATCCAGTCCTACGTGAGGCCAGTCACTGTCCGAATAGCTCAATGGTAACGTCACCGACTACAGCACTGGTTGGCGAGGGTTCAGACTCATAGGGAGTGACATTTCTATTGAGGTTGCAGATACATCTTGTTGGCAAGTGCCAACAAGCATGAAATCTAGGTCCAGAGCATTCTTCCGAATGCCTCCATCCAACTGACTGGTACTCTTGTTAGTTAGCTGGTTGCAAATATGAAATAAAATTTCCTTCTGATTGCCTCCAATCAACTAATATCTACTAATAAGCACTGCTATACTGAGCCTCCTAGCTTGGTGGTCATATTGCAGACATGATCGAAAGGATTTGTTCTGCACCCATGACTAGACAAAATGAAACTAGCGGCTTCCCCGTGATCAACCGATGAATGACTGGTACTCTCTTTGGCTAAGTACATTTTGAACATGCATAATAATATAATTATCCAATTTCATCTGTTATTAGATAATGTTAAATCACTCAAATATCAGATGGATGGATTGAATTAGACGTCTAAATTTCTGGCTATGCTGGAACAGCTTCCTCCGTGTAACTTAAAATCATAAATCATGATTACTGAAGATTAAATGACATGTGTTATACGAGACATTTTGAATGGAAGTTTAATTTGAGCATAATTTTATTTAGAATAAAAAATACCAATATTAACTCTGAATAATATAGACAGAGTGAAATTAGACTCAAACGGCTACCATCCATGTTGTACATCAAATTTGACAGGATTAACAAATCCTATAGAAATCTACAAGAAACTATTTGGGCTGATGGATAACTATACTGGTTGACCGCTTCTTCCTCTTTCTCTCCCCCTCTCTCAAAGTGACTGTATTTAATGATAGAAGCGTAGGAAGAATAAAATGGCTTCCAGCAGTATTTGCTTGAAAGATCAAGTTAATTTATTCTGTGCTCCAGTTTACCTTGCATAAATTTACTTACCACAAAATATTTTCTGTGGGTTCAATATGTAGCTGCTCTGTTTTTGTCCCGTTCCATAGTTGATGAAAATTATCATCACAGGTTCGTGTAACGCATTAGTCAATTTGTGGTTCATTGAAGCAACCGAACTGCAGTTAGTTGTCAGCTTATATATATATATATATATATATATATATATATATGACAAGATCTGATATTCCTGAATCCACCATGTTAATAATGTCACTAAAATAGAACTGCATGACACTGTCCGATTTATCGTTATACTGTGATCGAGGAATAATTAGGTTAGAATATTCAAATCATTCAACTTTTTCAAACCTCTTATTTGCATACTTATATGTCGAGTATGCAAGAGTGGTGAGAAGGGTGGGCAACGAACGAAAATTTATGTTTTTCTTTCTGTCTGTTCTCCTTTGAGTAGATTTAGTCCTCCCTTGCATAAAAGAGTAGTAGTTCTACATATAGGCCTTTATATTGTGGCGATAACTTGACCATAACAAGTAAACGAGGAGGGATAGATGAAGTGAGTTTGTAAGACAAATATGTTTGCCAAGAATAAAAAGTGAAATATTGTTTTTTTATACCCAAAAATAAATTGAATAAATAATCACTTTGTTCGAAAAGTCAAACAAAACCATTCATTAACTGACTGAATTTGAGTAACTCTAACAGCTACCTAAACTACTAGTGAAACAGTTGATCACATTTTTTAATTTCATGAACACTAAGCCTTTCCATGCGAAATAAAATGACAAATTGGTTACTTAAGTGGTTGCTATGGTGGTGTTTAGAGTCAGTCATCACAATCTATCCAGTTAGCACCATAGTCCAACTCTGACTTGTATAGAAATACAAGAATAAAAGATAAGATGTCGTCAACTCCCCATTTATTAAGACAGTGGAACAGTGCAAAAATCACATAATAAAACAAAACTGGTTATGTCAATGAACTCAACTTACTGGAGTATGTATTGGAAGTTAGAAATCTAATCACACACAGATCATTAAGTTGATGTTGACAAGCGTCACGTTGTAGTACTCAGTACTGACTGACTGAACTTTACAACCTGGATGAAAATTCTTTGTCAAAGAAGCTCATAGATGGGAAGATCACTAACCAGGATGAGTTGCAAGCTAGTATGATACTGAATGTCATAGATGTTTAGTACTAACACCCTAGTGTCCAGTATAGTTTCATTTCACTTGATATTCACGAATGACTTAAAAGTTCACCCTAGTAACTGCTAATATAAACAATCAGATTTTGAAATTTCGGCTAGGAAGATAGTTTTTCATAGAAAAGAGAAACTTGAATGGTTATCACATCATTTTTGGACTAGCTTTTAAATTCACCGAATACTCATAGTCAGTTTATTATGAATTTGTCCTTCAAATATGGTTGTTGACACTCCCCTCAGCTATGGTGTTTGGTGAGACGAATCTAAGCTTCTAGATCAGCACCAGTGTAATCTGTATTGCAGATATGACCTCGACGGACAGTGTATGTTTACGTGTGTGGCTTTTGTCTTACTTAGTTACATAAGAGGACACAATATACAGTAAGGACCAACCATAACACTTGACATATTTACAGAAGCAAATGTGATCACCTGAATGGTATCTGTAACAGTTCGTCTAGTCCTATATTTGTCTACTAGTTTGTTAACTCGATTACACTTTGTTCTTGATTTAGCCTCATTTTAATGTCATTATCCGTTTACTTTGATGTCATAATTACTATTTCCTACCTTCTAACTGGTTGTATGACTTCCCCTTTCAGTTAACCATTAGTTGTTATGTTATTACGAAACACCAGTCTCTCTACTGACTATCAATTTGTACAGCTGCTTCAGTTTTAATCTTGACTATAATATAAATAAGTGTATACTACACTGTAGAAAACTTTGAAAATCAAGGGTTGATCTCGGTTCTATTCTACCAAAAACACGTATTCACTCAGTCTACCCATTCTGCAACTATAAATCATTAGTCTAAGCAGTTGGAATTCAGTCAGTAGGTCATGCGTTCCAAATCCCACACTACGTAATAAATACTTTGCAGCCAGGTAGTATAAGCAGTCCTCACACAATAAGTGGGACTCATTGTCTGGTGCACAAACCAGTAACGTGATTGTTGAGTCTGCTTAATGTGATTGTCACACTTTTCCTGACAATAGCACTACTTATTTGGGATATGATTGTTCTTATTTCTTGTGATATAAATATTTTTTCTGTACAAATCTATAATAATTCATAAGGTGCAGACACAACACAAAATAAGTTTCGTAAAATAGGATACTGTCTCTGAAAATATGTTTGAAATGCCTTCCAGTGAATCAATATGCATTGCTTGAAACCAGTAAAAACTGAATCATTTAAAAAAAACTTCTGTTGATACAATAATGTTACAGCCGTCAACGCTAAAACACAAAATAGCACTCACTAAGGTGTTTAGTTTAAAACTTATTGGCAGGAAATATGAATACAATCAGTTATCTCTTGGATTCAATACCAAGCCTTCCTGACTGAACATATTTCCTCAGAACTGACAATTTCTATCATGAATTGTTACCCGGAACATTTCTTAACTTTGCTCCAATGATCCAGGGCTAAATATTTGGCTTGAAATATCTCACTCTGGATAATACATCCTTGATAAATTCTCAACAAGATAAAGTAATGAGATTTGTGGGAATGTTGAAATGTCATTAAGATTCGGCTGTACCGAAGTACTAAATTAGATTTAAACTGTTATTCAGTGGATTTCACAGGTATGTACTATACCCTATGTCACACCAAATTGTAATACATCCGTGAAAGAAATTTAACCTCACTAATTCATAACTTAAAGGAAAACTTGAAGCTTTTAATTATGATGAAAGAGGATTGCATAATAGTTAAGTAATTTAGCAATCGTGTACAAGTTTTTTGCATTGTATGAAGCCTAATGACGTTGTTGGTTATCCGAATCTCAACATACGGAGCAGAGCCAGAAACTTTGACTTACAAACTGAAGTTCGGTTGCTTCAATGAGCCACAAATTGACTAATGCGTTACACGAACCTGTGATGATAGTTTTCATCAACTATGGAACGGGACAAAAACAGAGCAGCTACATATTGAACCCACAGAAAATATTTTGTGGTAAGTAAATTTATGCAAGGTAAACTGGAATGGCTCACATTCAACTGATATTACTATTAGCTAATATAATACATTGAAATAAGTAATACTAGATAGATTAATTGAACAAGAAGAATTTTTGCATAAAAGTTTCAGATATATTGAACAGTTGAATATATCCTAGTTGAAATGAATCAATAAAATCCGAAATTACTATATTTTGAGTGGAATTCTTTTTCCTTGTGTACGTTATGTGGATCAACTGAAGAATGAAACCAAGGAATAATGGAATACTCATTTTACTTCTCTTCACTTCGGATCCATCCAACTGTCAGTATTCTCAACTAGGTTAGTCAAATATATACAAAAGAAATCACTTACCCTTTTTCTAATTCATTCCAACGTTTAACTGAGTGTTCCATATCTGCACGTATTCGACTGGTGTCTTCAGAATGAAATTTATTCATGAGCGCTTCACACTCGTTTTGATAAACATTGATTTTAGCACTTCTCTGCGGTAAACTATCCACCAATTCCTAATAAGTCAAGTAAAATAGACAATTATAGAAAAAATGCACCTTTTATTCATTAGTCTAGATGTTTATCAACTTAAAATGATTTATTTCATCAAACTAGTTTCACAAGCAGTTACTAATCACTAAAACTCAATTTTTGCAATGATAGAAAGTGTCTGTGTACCTGAGGTTATAGGTTTTCTATTGAAATGACTTCCCAATGGAGTATTCTCTGAATCACAACTCGAAATAGTGAACTAATGTAACTGCGTACACCAGTATATTCTAGCCTACTGAACAGTAGTTTGATTACAGTCATCTGATTTAAATTCTCAATGCGAAACAACTGCTGTTTTAACTAACAACTTATTCATCCGCATCAGATGTCGTCGTTAGATTTCCAGTTTATAATCAATCATGTGTTTTGGTAAGTGTTAGTGTCCGCAAAAAATATGTCAGGTAAAAAAAACACTCCTACTAAATGATCTTAATTAAAACTTCACCTACTGTTGCTAAGATTTCGTACAGATTTTCGTATCCAATTTTGAAGAAAGTCATCAAAATGTTCAAATCAAGTTGTCGTTGCTGTTGTGATTCCATGGAGGTTTGCAATACTAAACTGTACAATGGCAACATTTTAATTTCACACGCAAGTATTGTAGGTGCCCAACATCATGTCTAAATCATGTGATGAGTATAATTGATCAATTACAGAAAGTTTTTAGTATCCTAATGATACTGGTGTTTGGCATGCTAGCTTTTCAATGAGAAAAACTGCAATGTCAGAAGAGTTTTCACTTTGCGTTGGTGTCATCGAAAAAACCACTGAAAATCAGGGAAGACTGCACAGTTGTTCTGTCATGATTTGACACTTGTCATATGTGTTCACTCAAGACCCCATGCAAATCCAATTCAAGGACCAGCTGATACTTTGATCAACATGTTATCATTCAGCCACAGAGCTGAATTCAAATGGCTGACATTTTACAAATCTTGTCGATCCCCTTATTTTCACAGCAGTTTCTTGAAGAATATTATATGCATATTGATACACTAAATCTTAAGTTACTTTGCATGCATAAATCAAACAAAAGTTCAGCTTATCATTGACTGATTGAGACTATATCTTGCATTGCATTTCATTCCTTATCATCACGAGTGCCGGTGTTGTTTAGTTAACTAAAATTATACTCTGAAAACAGTCTAATTTGTAACAAGTTAAGTAAGTTGTTTGTATGAAATACATGGAGAACTCCTCAAATGATAGCCAGGTTCTAGATGTGACTCATTGATACTTTTATTTTCTCCTTGTTATACTGGATGGAACTGATCGACTTCTGTTGGCATATGGGCTCCTATTTGGATGCCTTAACAATGAATATTCACTAAAGTTCAGGTACATATGGTTGACGAGTCCTAAATAGGACAAAACGCTTGTCGTAGATTCCACTGCTAACCACCATAAGGTAAATTATAAGTTCTAGGTATTGTTAGACAAATATACTTATGTACACTTTAAAAAACCCTAAATCTCCAAAAGATTTCAAATGGTATTCCATTTAAAAATCAAATCGAGTAAGACTGAAAAAAAATACAGCAGACTGAACTCGCCAATTCCTCGAACGATCTTGTTCGAGTTGGGGGAACATTGCTTAATATATATGAGTATCAAATCTTGTTCTTTTAAAAGCTTTCCAGCAACCGAAATCAGCTATCTAGGCATGCTATTCTCCTAGTTTCTCTCAGAAACTTAGGTGCTTTCTTTAGATATCCTCTAGTTAAATTCAATACTCACTGACCACCTATAATATTTCCGACTTTGAACCACTTATGTAACTATCTGAAGAGAAATCGAGATGAAAGTGGTCTTCTGTCTCAATATCTGACTAAGCTTCGACTGATAAATACTTTTTTATGTGCATGATTAGTGTTTTTGAAGGTGATATCAGTGTCCTGTCGCACCATCAGTTCAACGGTTATCTGATTAAACCCCAAGATTAATTTGCTAATAGGTTTCAATTTCACTTCAAACATCGACAGTTTTGTTCAGATATCATGTGAACTAGTGATTTATAACTATTGGTTCATCAGCAGTTGTCAGTTACCTAGTTAAATCTTGTCAATCAAGTTCAAAGGGACCTCCTGACTGTGGCGGGAACATTTCTTTCTCCTTTTCCTTATTATTATCACCTGCACTCCGAACAACATTATAATTATGCAGTGGCATACAGACTTTCTTTTTATAGATATATACATATTGTAACCAATAACTATCTATTTTCGTCGTGAACTGAAAAAGAAAAATACTACAGTGATTGAAGGTTGAAAAAAAGAAAACAGGCTGTACTTTATCTTACTCAATTTCCTGAAGTGCATACTACAATACCTCCTTGATTTTCAAGTTACCTAAAATTCTTCTAATGATATGTGATTTCAGCGTTAACCATAAAAATTGTGTGCATAATGATCCAGCCCTGCACAGCAACGAGAAATTACAAGTATCATTACAACAAATGATACCCTTTGCATAAGAGGTGAGTATCGTGTCCAGTGGTTTAGTGGATAACGCTCTGGTATCTGAAGCCTAGGGTACTGAGTTAGAGCTACAGTGGGAACAACATCACTGAGTGAGGTGCAAGTGCACCCAGCTGATGAGTCCTAAATAGGATGAAACGCGGGTCCCGGGTTCCTCTGTTAGTCACCAAGATCAATATAACTTTATTGCGTTATATTCCTTTAGAAATTATCTTGTATTAGTGAACAGCTCAGATAAAGAACCAACTGTTTACTCGCCACTCAATTTGTTACGATATATGGTTGAGCCAGACAAGTGTTTCATCCTAATTGGGAAAGTGTAGAAGGAGCATAGCGATGATGTCATTTATGATTAAACATAGGGTAGTTGCTTGTCATGAGGAGTTCATGACATTACAGGCGCCAATGTTCAATTTTTCTAATGTTCATGTTAGTCTAACATGACAAATTACATCCAATATTTATTTTAACCACATACTTGTAAGTGTTTACGACAGGTTTCTGGACTCATCATCAGTACTCTAGAGGCTGACAGTCCTTGTTCATTCTCTTGACTTTTTGATCCATCAATACTTTGTAATTCCGCTTCAGTCTTACTGATTTCACGTTCAACATCACGTTCCAATTCCTTTAAACTTTGTGTACCAGACAACATTTGATCTAATTGTTCTGATCGGTTAATCATTTTCTTTTCAATTGAATTCCACTGATTTTGTAGCTGGTCAACTGTTGAGGAAAAGTCAATTTTATGTAAAATAAAAAAAAAAGTAAAAGAATTATAAGTAGACAGTGGAACTAGTTAACAGTAAATTATGCCAGATTTATACACAACTAATTGAAAAGTTTACTGCAACAATGATTAGCTTACGCGAATCAAATGAAAAATGCGTCATTTTGATCTCGTTTCCATGAAGTAAGTGTCATTGTTAATGTGTGTGCAAGTGTATAGCCCTCTGGTGAATGGGTAGTGTGGTAAACGCTACTTATAAGAGTGAACATCGGTAGTCTATAGCACAACATCGGAAAACACGAAAATTTATAAAGGTTAACTGATAAAAATTTGTTAAGGAAAAAGGTAATATATCAAGCAGAAATATAGAGGGCGGGAACACTGCCTGCTGGTATACTGAAAAAGAGAATGTTTGCAAATCTGACTTTATTGTTGTCACTACCGATGGTAATATCCTAATAAATAATCTTTGCCTAATCCAGTCCTACAGGAGGTCAGTCGTGACCCAGTTAGCTCACTGGTAACCCATCTGATTGCTTCACTGGGTGGCGTGGGTTCGAATATCAGGTGGAACATCAGTTCCGTAGAGGTTGCAGATAAGGCTTGCTGGCAAGTCCCGAGAAGAACGCAAACCAGGTCTAGGGCTTCCTGCCAATTACCTCCATCCAAATAGCGTGATGTTTGCTGCTTTACGGGATTTCTTTCCAACTGAGAAGTCAACAACACTTTGAATTGTCGAGATTGCTTTCAAGACTTATTTTTATCATCATAAATCTCAGTAATAAGGATTGTCAGCGGCTAATCTTATCATTGTTCTTCACTTATCGAAACTTATAACTGATTTATCAAGTTACTTATTAGTGAACTCATTGTGGTAAACGCTAAGTTGTTGACTTGGATTATGAGAATATCATGAATATCAGTTGTACGAAACGCCGTTAGCGATGTCGAAAGTTGATGTATTCGCCGATATATTGCTGATGATTAAGTATCTTGTCTGCAGTGCTTTTGAATCAATTCCCTTATGTGTAAACGTCTGCGCTAATAAGGTCATATTAGTATTTCTGCGATTGTCTACTTTTATCGAAATAAAATAGGTTAGGGGTGAATCATTCACGTTCTGAGGTGTATAGGGCCATGAGTGTGAAATTTTGAATGGGATTGAAATATCTCGCTTTCATTAGTGATGCGAACTGATACCAAGGTAATCAATTTCCTGAAAGCCACCTTGTTAACTTGACTACAACTAGCCAACACAAGTAAAATTACACCAAACTGAAATTCAAGGCACTGTGGTCGGGGGTAGGGAATTCATTCAAACAGCCCATATGTCAGCAGAAAAGGACCGATTTGGTCCAGTATAACAATGAACGAATAGCTAATAGAACCAATAAGCAACAATTCATATACGTCGCAATAAAAGTGACCACAATGACTCAGTAGCATAGTATATAAGCACTTTGACGTTTGAAGCGATGGGTTATGGATTAGAGTCTTAGTGAGAACACCATCACTGACTGGGATACAAATACATTCAGCCGAAAGGTAGTAACTAGGAAAAAACGGGGATCCTGAATTCCACTGCTATCCATCTCCAAGCAAGTTACACAAAAATAAATAATTTTATCAGAAATCAGTAATTGGACCTTTTTTCTTCTGAAGTACTATACTGCTAAGTAATGTAAGCATAACCTTTCAAACCATTGTAGACACTGAAAACTGCGGTAAAAGTACAGTCTGTCAATCATAGTTGTTAGTACATTTTAGAAATTTACCTAATGTAGATCATGAGTTATGTACATTGAAACTAACTTTGAAGGAAAACTCTTAAAGGTTTATCTCCACCTTCTTGTATCTTAGAGGGTAAAACTGTAAAGGAACAGGGGATCTTGAGAGTCAGTCAACTTGGTAACGAAATAAGGTTTAGAGTAATTTTGCCAAAAATTCAGCAATACAAAATTGTAAACCAATCAGTAACCTAAGTTTTAATTTCAAAGAAAAGTAGGTTGTTTGAACAGCAGTTGATTATTAAACTGACAAAAAATACAGAAACTGCTGTAACGAAAACAATATCTACTTAAAATATTCTCAAAAACAAGCCATTCAAAACCATATTTGAATGGTAATTCTCTTTTTTCCAGGGAAGGAAATTCACTTTCTTAACGATATTTTTAACCGACAGAAGTGGCGAAAGTTTAAAGTTCGAATCATTGATGACTTTAAAATGGATGGGGTATTCACTTTTATTTGAAACGACTAATTAGAAGACGGTTTTTGGTAATTGAAAGCAATATTCCTGAATTCTTA